ATGTTTGGACGTGTCATCTACCAAGGCACATACGTCTTGGTCCGCAATACTCCCGTACTAGCCTCGAAAAGCAGAGAGCTACCCCGATAATTATCATAGATCTTTTCCCTTGCGATTTCCTGCTTGAAAGTTCGGTAGGTCTCCAGTGATGATTTCGTAAGCATTGCCATCTTCCACGTGTCCCTCTCTGTTTCCCTCACCTTCTTCTTAACCGATCTTTCCTTTTGGCTTGGTATTCTGCTGTTGTCTAAATACTTGCTTGACAATTTTCGAGTTTGTTTCCTTCATTTAGTATCGACATTCTTCAGGTACAAATAGCTGAAAACTTTCCTAGCCCAACACGTCTCTCCCGTTTCTCTCAATCGCTCCTCAAATTTTATCTTGCTGCTAGCCTCCCTGCACTCAAACGATGTCCATCCCATGTCACCCTGTACCCCTGATTTGGGGTATTCCCGTGTGCTCCCAAAGCAAGTCTACCTATACCACGTTGTTCAATTTCCAATCTTGCTTGAACTTCTGATTTCATGCGCGAGACCGCATTGCCAATCATTACGTATCTTTCGTGCTCCCTTAGATACTCAGCTCCGTTATTTATCCATACGCCCAAGTATTTGTATTTATCCACTATTTCTAGCATGACTTCCTGTGTTTTATGCTCACTGCCTCTGATAGCATTAAAAATCATGATTGCCGATTTTTCACTGCTGAACTTCAAATTGAACCTATCTCCCCCATTACCATAGATGCCTATCAATCCCTGCAGATCTTCCATGTTGTCGGCTATTATTACTATATCATCTGCATACATCAATGCTGGTAGTGACTGTTCAATGTGTTTTCCTTGTTTGGCAAATAGAGGACGAATCCGAGTCGACTCCCCTCTAACTTGGCTTCTAGTCTCTGAAGATGCAGCATAAATAACAAAGGTGACAAGAGACATTCCTGTCGAAGCCCGCGTTGTATCTCTATAGGTTCAGATACCTGTTCTTCCCATTTGATAACTACGTTGTTACTTTTATAATTTCTTTAGAAGCTTAGTTATTCCATCTTCCACACCTACTGTGTCCAGTATTCCCTACAAGTCTTCTTGAATCACTATCGTAAACGCCCTTGATATCTAGAAATGCCAGCCACAGGTGCATGCGTTCTTTTTTCGCTATTTCAATACACTACATCAAGGAAAACAGATTGTCCTCCAACTTTCTTCGTTTACGGAACTACCTTTGTAGTTCTCCATTCTGCAGCTCAAAAAGTTATCCCATTTTCTTTCGACATCATCTTCCGGCTCACCCCTCTGTTTAGCATACCTGTGTTCCCTGAGGGCTTCCTCACGTCTTACTATTGCTCCCTTAACTTCCTCATCCCACCAGCTCTTGGCTGTGTGTCCACTTTTCCCAGTTGATTTGACTCGTATCTAAGCAAGCTCTAACTCAAACAATCGAGTTATATTTGTGCACGTCCACTCCGTTTTAGTATCCTCGGTAATTATTTTCTCAATCTCTTTAGTTGCTGTTTCTATTTGCCTTTCTGAATAAATAATACCGTGTGGTTGCTCGTGATGTCGCCTTTCCAATTTCATTTCTCTTCCAAAACTCAGCTTGATACGTTTGTGATCACTACCTAAGCTTCTGGACCTATATTCATCTATGTTCAGCCCCCTTAGCCGATCATACATCCTACGTGACATTATTGCATAATCTACCGTCGACTGCAGCCTTCTCACTTCTCATGTCATCCGCCCTTCGCATTTCTCGGTGCTGTTGCAAATGATTAAATCATGCCTTTCACACATATGCATCAGCATTCTGCCTGTTGGATCAGTATATCCATTCATATCCACTAATTGCGCATTCATATCTCCTAATATAATTACCTCACACTCCTCTCCTAGTTCATCAATGTCATTTCCTATACACTGCACCATTTGTTGATTTTCCTCTCTGGCTTTCGCCCCTGTTCACAAGTAAACAAAACCCAGGAGCATCATTTGCCCTGCCACTTTCCCTTTTAGCCATAAATGTTCCTTGCACTCCTGCTTGACCCTTTGCCAGTACGTACTTTTATGAATAAAAGCCCCAATACCACCCCCCTTTCTGCTGCTTTCTGTTCTACTAGGATATTCCCACGCGTAGTCCAGATTGTGAGGAGCTTGTACCATGTCCCTAAGATGTGTTTCTACGAAACCATATACCATCGGCCTCTGATTTGATTGATTGATATGTGGGGTTTAACGTCCCAAAACCACTATATGATTATGAGAGACGCCGTAGTGGAGGGCTCCGGAAATTTAGACCACCTGGGGTTCTTTAACGTGCACCCAAATCTGAGCACACGGGCCTACAACATTTCCGCCTCCATCGGAAATGCAGCCGCCGCAGCCGGGATTCGATCCCGCGCCCTGCGGGTCAGCAGCCGAGTACCTTAGCCACTAGACCACCGCGGCGGGGACCATCGGCCTCTCCACCCTTAGCTATTCTTCTATCTCTTCCCACTTCAGCCTATTCCTGCCACCTTGCATGTTAATATACCCTATGTCTGAATTGGCCCTTATGGCTACGTCGATTTCTGCCCCGGACTCTACGTGTCTTAGATATTGTTGCCACTTTGGAATCGTGTCTGTGTATACCACCTGTCACAGTGTACCCCTCGTTGTTTTCCTCATTACTAGCTATCCTGCACCCCGAAGAGCCCGCGTGCCCCCCGAAAAAGCTACTGCGCGTCCTGCAAGTCACCAACCCACCTCATGACTTAGCCTCCCATCGAAGTGAGTTCTGTATTGTTTAAAACCACCCCACCTATGCACCTCTCTGTTTATTTCCACCACCTCAAGGCCTTTCTCTCGACTCGATCATCCGCCATATTTCTTGGTTTGCATTGACAACTGCTCTTCTGCAGGTTGCCGTCACGTACCGGTACCTCCGGTATCGTCCATATCACTCCCTGTAGCTGAGAAGAAATGGCGCACATGTCATCGACCCATTTCGCCAGTGTGGTCGCCAGTCCTGCCGTATCTTGATTTAAGACATCATTTAAACTGCCTGCAATTATCGTGAGGTGTCGTCAATCGGCTGTAGTTTTGAGTTTTGCACTCGCTTGCCTCATGACTGCTTCCAGCTTGCGTCCTGCGAACGTCCCTACTACAACCCACTAGTCACCTCTTACTCTCTCTTTGATGGCTTCTGTGCATCGATTTAAATTTGAGTCCCTGGCGATTATCACATGCTGTGACTTTTCAGCTGGAGCGTCCTGCACCTGGGGGTTACTTGCACCTGTGATGCCGGCTGCTTTGTCCCCTCCCAGCCCCACCACTACTTCCCTGAAGCTGGGCTTTGCGAAAATTGAACCGGCTGAACCTGTTTTTTTTTAACTTGCTTGCTCTTTCTTCTCCGCCGTTCTGGTTGCCGGTTCCCTACTGTTCTCTCCATAGGCCGCTCCTCTGTTCATGTTGGCTAGTGCTTCCTCTGCGGACTTGAACATTTCTCCCTTAGCCCTTGTTTTCTCTTGCTCTGTTGCCAACGCAGTCTCCAGCTCGGTGATTCTCATCAGCAGTTCACTCTGGACAACCATCATTTTTTCATTTTTCCTCGACCTTACGTTGCCTACACCTGGAGTCAGCCTCCTCTCCATGCGCGTCTGCACTTGTATCCATTTTCAAACCCGCCCTACATCCTAAACACTTTACAGCCTTTTCAGCCATGTCTTAATGACACCAATTGTTCCTATGAATTGTCCCACTCAATAATTACGAAAGATGGCGTACGACGAACCCTGCCCTACGAAAAAAAAAACTGTCTAAGCTCTACTACAAAAATTTGCGTGTTCAGTCTACATGCACCTCCCCCACGAGGTGGCAAGAAAAAACACAAATATACACACAAACTAGTAAATAGCTGATAACTGACCTCTGAAAAAGCCGTACAATGTAATAAGAGCTATAAAGGTTTCAACTGCTGCCTTATTAATTATAAAGCAAGCTTCAAACATGCAAAACCACTTATCTGCGCAGTTGATCGGGAGCGCTCAAAAAACACGTCCATCCAACGTGCCAGTCCCAACTGAACCTGTATGAAAAGGAGCAGCAGCGCTCCCAACCATCCTAGCGGCCGTCCAGAGCGTAAACGGACGCCGGGAAACCGGGGGCTCCACGATAGTCATGCCACTACACCTCGCCAAGCCACGCAAGCGCCCAAGCAGTAGCAATGGAGTAAAGCCGCCACCAAGCCGCGCCCATTGACGGGAACACTCCGCGCATCTGCTGCGCCTAGTTACCACAAAATTACTTTTGTCCTTTTGCGCGCATGTCTTATTTACATTACCTATAAAGTGTGCACTCTTTTTAATTTTTTTTTGCAACTCGAAGAGCCTTTGTGTACGCGTTTTATTGCATCTGAGTGTCCACTTTTGGGTAGAGGGAGGTGGGGCCAGTCGAGCAGCATTTAAGTATGTCAGCAAAGCCGGACACACACCATGACACTGCTCGCGCACCTGTTGCTAAGCAAAATTTCGCCAAGCAACCGTTCACCGCACCACATGGTGAGACCGCACATTTGCAGTAGCTAGGCCGCACCCACCGACGGAGACATCGCACGCAATTTCCCGACCGTGCCTAGACCGTCATGTGTCCTCCTAAAAATGTCCGCACTCTCGAGGAGGAAAAATCACATACCGAAGGTCGGCGGGGAATACGAGGGCCAATGGGACCCTGCTTTGCTATGCAAAGCTTTGTGCGAATCAGCACCAACTACCCGAATGTTCATGTACATTATGCTAGGCACACAATTTTGTCAGGGAGCGTTTTAGAACACTTACACTTTCAAATCTGGCCGTTCTTAGTCAGAATTTGTGCTTGGAATAGCTGCATAGTGTGGAATGGGTTCCAGTATTGTTCATTTAAACTTGCCACATCAGGCTTGTCATTGAGGTGACTGAATGCACAGACACGTAACAGCAATCCTTGTGAAAGATTGATTAGACAGGAGCTGGTATGCACCAAAACACGGTTTGGACTATGTGACATGCTTTATTTCCCCCTGACCACTACTGGCTAGGAAAAGAAAAAGAAGTACAGCATGTTTAAAAAAAGAACATCAGTAGAATCACTTGTACGAATACACTCTTGACCATGGTGTGACATAGATGCTTTTGCAAGGCTAGAATGCAGAACAAAGTTGGCGAAAAGGGATACAAACAACCGGGTTGCTCGGTGGCACTAACGAAACTGCCTACAGCTCACATAAAGTAGCGAGGCGGATCATCCTCGACTGTCAATTTCCGAAAAGATAGAAAAGAGCATCAAGGGCAGCATAGCCAAGGTCAGGCATGGCTAAACCAACGAAAAAAAAAGAAGGGGGGAGGGGGGGTAGTGGGAAATGGAAAAGAAGCGCTTCTTTTGCAAATATTTCAGCGTGAAAAAGGCAGATGCAGTGAGCAATACAGCAATCACTAGAAATAAAGCAATGCTTGCATAAAAATTCGTACAACACTGATTGATAAAATCACGAAGAGCACAACAGACTTGTCCACAACACAGCTTTTTAAGTGCAATGCGTAGCAGCAAGCTTGATGCAGTGTCGCAGTAAAAACTACTAGCGAAAAAAAATCTTATATCGCAGCTTATACAATTGCGGCATGTCCTCAGCCGAGACAACGGAACAAATGAAAACAAGCAAAATGCAATCGAACTCATCACTGCAAATGAAGCAAAACTACAGCCACCCTTTGGGAGCAAGGAGTCAACGCTTCGTAGAATGCCCTTATGCATATTTTGTTTTTGACAAGGAGGGTCCCACCAAATCGTAGCTGCTTAACCGTTGCGGACAAGTTAAATCCCTATTAGCTGGCAGTCAAGAGAGAATGACGCTGCGAGAACCAAAACTTACAAATGACTCCCATTACTCATATGTACACAATGTCCCACAGACATGCATAGGACTCTAGCTTGAAACAGGATTGAAGCCAAGTCACAAACACGAGAGCACGAAGGTGTGATCATGTCAAGCTACAGGGTAACTCTGGTAGCGGCACCAACCGTGCTGGTGGGAAGGGACTAAATTGTTGAGCATGGTGAGCAGAGAGCAAAAGCAGAGCAGAGGATAATGAGAGCCCCAAAACTGCCAAAAAAGACAGGACAGATGCCACCAATGTGGTACGCCGTAACCAATATTGCCGAATTGCAAATCGCATAGGGTCACTTTCTTTTTTCAGAACTTCTGATAAAATAAAGGTTTAGGCGGCCGGCACTTGACATAACTTGTGCCCACTACTGAACCGTAGCTTCGTGCCTTACTTTGAATGCCTGAATACTGACGAACCTAACAAAACTGACATACATGAATTCAGAGAGTCATGAAACAAGTCTCATACGTTGATAGTATACTCTTTTAGCTGAGACAGTGACATCAGCTGGCGAGAAAGATGTAGGCAATTTGATCTCACGTTTGAACAAAAATCTTACCCATGGTGGACTTAATTGGTAGGTAGCATTCGCTGAAAACATCTTTATATCATAAAGCTCAAAATCTGCCTCAAAACAAGGCATTATCTAACTACTTTGCAAAAAAGTCACTCCAACATGAGACTATGCCGATTGATTTCCCAGTGAATGCTCTCACTCTATTAAATGTAGATAGTGCACTTCACAGCTGCTATGAAGGTATTTGAAGCGCACACAGTTACTGGGAAAAGAAATAAGTTGCTTCACAGTTACAGGATGCAGTAACCTATTGTTCTGCATGAAAGAATCAATTACACCTGCTTACAACGATACGAAGGTTCAGGAAGAATTGAGGCTCAGAGCGATGGAAAAAAATTACAACTCAAACAACTGAGTGTAATCTTACAGAGGCATTGTCGTCTGTCCCGTCCTTTGGCCATCATGCGCACAACATATGAAGACATCTTTGTTCAACAGCCGCAGTGTTCGACACTCTGAAGATATGTTTTGCCACGCACGAAATATCAATATGCATAAAAAGATCAGACACGGGAGCATACGAGGATGCACCAAGCATTTCGTCAAGAAATGGCTGCGTGGATCACTTTCCTAACTGTCACATTGCAAGCTACGCTTTTACCACTATGCTAGAGGAGCCTAGCAACGCTCAGCCAAACATTACAGTCGCGCGGTTATTTATCCCTTCTTACATGATGCACAAACAAAACCAGCTGCTCCACAAACCTCCTCTGCAATGTGTGGCTAAAGCCAACATAAAAAAATACCATATAGGCTAGAGATGTCCAGTTCAGTTATTGTGCTATTGACATAGATGCGTGCATTGAAATTCCTGAATAAAAAACAAAAGATACAAAACAACAATATAAATGAGATAAAAGCTAATCAAACAAATGTAAAGGATCAGACGAATAGTGAGAGCTGACAAAGAGCAGCCGTCGATTCAAAGTCCCCAATCCTCCAAACACAATGTGCCATGCATCAATGCAATGCAACATAGAGAGCTTTAGCACACGTACCCGGCACAGCTGGCAAATGACCGAAACTATGCCAGCAATGCGAGAGGCAGTCGTGCACCCAGACACTTCGCTATGGTGTGCCCATGCATCCAATAGCTTGCCGCCCGTACTGCATTAAACGGAGTATTACACAGCGACCATACGGACATCTCAAGGCAGCGCTAATCAAACGAACAGCACTTCAAATTGCTTTAAGCACCAGCAGTTGCGTGCACAACAACAATGCGACAGGTTCAAAAGGAAAACTTGGCGTGATTAACGAGTGTCAGCAGTGTTTCTAGTCTTGTCAAGGGCATTAAACCAGGAAACTACCGTGAAAATGTGCAGAGCATTTATAGATTGCAGCTGTTATAATTTTTTCAAAATGCCCGCTACTTAGGCCTGTGAAGAGGAAACAGCAGTAGTTTAACAGCTTAACGTACATGTTCAACTGAAAAGTCTTTGACATGCCTCCAAATTACACTTCAGACAAAACAGCCGGTGCTTATGAAGCAATGAAACAGTCATGTAAATTAAGCGCATAACACGATGCCAGCACTCAAAAGCAGCCTCCCTTGCGAGTTCTCTTTTGTATGCAGCGTAACTTCCGTGAATGAAACAACAGCACGCAAACTATGTACCACATCTGGCAATATAATACTGCTCCATGCAAAATTTTTCATAGAAACCAGAGCTGTTCGTCTCCAAGCAGTTTCAAAAAAGCTATCTACAAGCACACAGGTACAGTTAACAGTCTTGTTGACACAACGATGTTTGACCCCACAACACTAAAGGCAACACCACAACACCAAAGCGGTACGTTAAAGGGACACCACGGGAAAATATTAGGTCAAGCTAACATTTTGCAATGACATGGTTCACATGATGCCATGAGAGCAGTCAAGGGCACAAAAGTTTCTGTAATAATTTTTTTACAATTAACTCAACGGCACAAACTACTTAAACGCCAGACCATGCCAATCTTCGACACTGTTACAAATGCCTGCGGCTAGCACCAGTTATAGATAACCGTCTTTGAAACATGCAAAGACTGGGCATGCTGCATATTTCCCTAGAATGTTCTCTCCTTAGAATGCCACACGAGACCAGACAGATAACGAAACCAGAGTTTTTAAATCTACCTGTTGCAGTCATGCAAGTAATCATGCTGGAGTCGGTTTGCACAACCAACAAAATCTGGTACATTGAATTCCCCTTCACTGATTTGTTGGAAAGAGTGTGACAAAATTATTCGTATGCCAATTAACCTGGTGACAATACCAAAACTGCTTAAGCTAAATAAAAAGCCAGCAAAGTTTATGGCAGTCCTCCACATTTTGTAGACAGTTGCCTGACCTGCATATGACTAGTAAAATTTTACATATGAAAAATTTTGCATACAAATAGAAATTTATTTATCTGTACAGAAAGTGAGTTCTGGTACAAACCGAAATCAAATGAACTGCTATTCATGTTCCAACTAGTAACACGGACCAGCATTACCTGTCGGCACCTTAGCTCACACAATAACCGGTTACCTGAACCCATTAAAGCACCAAGAGACCAGCAATTGGGCAGAAAATCCAAGCAAGAATGAGGTTCAGCCTTTGTTGCAGTTCGGTTCGGTCCGATATATTAATTAGGCCATGAAGAAAACCTATAAGCCATACCTTATCAGTTGCCCCGGTGGCGTCCCTTTTGAAAGAGGCAATTCGTTTACCGAGCGAACGTTACAATGGTTATAACAGGGCGTGGCTTACAGTCAGCAGCACTTTTAGAAAACCCCATTAACAAAGAGAATAAAGACCAGCCACTAGCAATCACAAGCCGCCAAAAAAGTGCAAAGCACCAAAATTCCAAGGTTCCGAAATGTCTCTCTTCTCAATAAATGAAGCTTCGTCTAAATGCCATCTAAACACAAAATAACGACATAATTAAAGCATAAAAAAAATCCTGTGAGAAAATCGGTAGATAACACACAGTAGATATACACTCAAACCTCATTATAACAAAGTCGCATCTACTGCGAAAATACTTTATTATACGATTATTTGTAACACTGTATTTATGGCAAAGCTAGTGGTCGCTTACTTCGTTATAACCAATTCGTTATACTTGAATTCGTTATATTGAAGTTTGAGTGTAACAAATTGTCAGATTAAGCACGCATAAATTCTTTTCTTGCCGAGATCAGCACATAACGAATGCATACTTATCGCATATAATAAAACTACCATAGATTCTATTCCAACTACTTTTTTAATACAAGGTGTAGTTGTATGCTTTGTACATCATATGGAAAAAAATCTGCAATCCCCCACGGTAAACTTTGCTAGGTTCTAACCACCTATATTTGTGATGTTTGTGGAATGGTATAACGGGGAGAAAATATCCGGGTATGGAAGCCAAAGCTAGCCCGAAAAACAACACCAGTGATGCAATACCCAAGCTGCCATTTTTTAGCCCAATCAGATACATGAAACCTCGTGTTAAGAGTCGAATGGTGACGTGTTATGTGATGGAAGGACCACAGTAGTGCCATGAGTGGTGAAGTAAAGTCAAACCCATGGGAATTCATTGTTCCGTGGGAAGAATGAGTTACCAGCACCGCCAAGTGACGTTCTATGACAAACGTAATCATTTTCAAACCTGGATATTAGGGATGCGATGCCGAGAAATCAGTCTATGGTGGAAACAAGTCGCTGGTCAGCTACTGACAGTGAGTTCGCACTAGACAGTGATATGGCAGCGGAGCAAATCGCACGATTAATTCAAAATGACGTGCTCAAGCACTGCACAATGCAGTGTGCCTACAGTCCTAGCTCGTTCCCTAAATCATTGGGATAATCATTGGATTCATTGGGATAACGTTATTCATCCTTCCCTTTGTTCTTTTACAGTGATTTACAATTGCCCCACAAAACCTTTTCAAATTTTCATTATTGTATATTACTTTTGTTCGTGTGCACTCTTTCTCATGCTAGAAGTCGTAAATATTGGCCTATACGGCAATACAGTTCTGCTGCGTTGCCATACCAAAAACAACTTTGCAAGAGGAAGAGGAAGGACAGTGGAGAGGTTCACATAATGAAGAAAGCATGGTGCCGGCAAACTGATATTGAGGTGTGAAAACAACTGCGACAGCTGGACCACTGGAAATTTGCTGGCACTTGCATACTCAAAAGGAGGTGGGGGAATAGTGCACAGTGTGTCCTGTTTCAGTAACATCTCCACACCAACACCCTCCCCTTATGGTGCACACGTCTGGTGCCAAACACCCTGGGAGAGCCTAATAAAGTCTGCTGACAAGCTGGCACCCACTAAGAGGCTGAAAAAAAAAAAAAGAGAATGGATGTGTGCTTGTGATCTTTCGCTTTTGGGGCATATCCACCTTCGGATGAGCAAATTCACTGGGTAAAGCCAGCCATGACCTCAAAAAAGGCTGAGCAGCCACCAAACCAGTAAAGTTACATGACTCAAGTCATTCCCTAGACTTATCGTGCTCTTCGATCATTGCACAACAAAAACAGCATGGAATGCACAAATCGTACATGCGAAATTCACAGCACACCACCGGGCAACACATCGCGTCTAGACCTAACATGACGCATCTTAAGCGTGCACCACAAAGAACACACCAGAAGCAAGATGGGGTAAGGAAGAAAGGCCTAACAAAGCTGGTTTCTGTACCGATATGCTCCAGGGAAGACTACACCATGCACCCAGGTGAAGGGAACCATCACCATACAAGCTGGAGCCTGTCTGTTGCATATGATGAATTGCAACCAAAAGCGAACTAGCCCCATTATATCAAGTCTCATGACGAAAGTGAAGTGCCGACTTGAAGATACTACTTTGCTACACTTTTGCTCACGACTCTGTTACTTTGCACCCCGCTTCACTAATGAACTCTTGCGAGCGGCAGACGGTGAAGAACTGAGGTGTTGCTTCCACTAAGCAAAAAGACGGTGATGCTTGCATGAATGACAGTGAAGGGACAACAAGGCCACGTGGTTTGGGACACTAGGGCAAATCCAGGAAAAAGCTTTCCTCGTTTCGTGGGGGAAAAGGGGGGAGGCATGAGTAAAGTGAATAGACGAACAAAAATATTAAAATAAACATACATGACTGTACACATAAAGCGCGCACTGTGTTTGAAGGAGCAGGCTTTGGGAGCGATGATGACAACAGACGAGAAAATCCAGAGAGGCTGGCCGCGGCTGGTGGATGAATAAGCCGGTCAACTGGGCCCGAGTGTGCATGTCCGCCACAGCTTCTGCAGGTCGGCATACATCTGCAAGTGCACAAAGAAAAATAAACAGTTTCTCTGGAGGACATGGGCAGCTACAAAAGTCATTGGCACAGCAACATTTTAGGCTAAGCTTGCCCTAGCTCATGATGGTGTATAGCACAGAACATTGCAAATATGACAGAGCTGGAAAGAAAGAGCATTCAGATTCCGCTCCTTTTAGATGCGAAGCATCTGATGAGGGAGCTTAATCCAGTGGCGTCTGCACTTCACTGTGCATGCGCCCCTTTCCCATCTCCCTCCTCTTCTGTGCACCCTCCCCCCTTCGCAACGCCGTCACAGGCAGCATCTGCTAGCAAGTTTCCTGATTAAAAAAATCAACTGCTCGCACTGCACAACTGTTTCACTGGCCACCCCGCATATATAGGCACTAGATCTTGACCTTCAGGGTGGGAGATTCACTGGTGGGAGATTCCTCCCCACCTGTGCGTTGTTCAATAAAAATTCAAAGCGTGCGCATTAACTAAATGCTAGCTATGGCTGTCCAAGTCCGATCGATGTCTTTCGTCTCTCATTACCCATTAGCGGCGATTGGCATTTTCCAGTAGGAAACACGGGTCCATCACTGTGTGCTTTGTGCCTCCTCATGTTTCTCCTGCGGAATGCCGTGACGAATTCCAGCATCAACGCTGCCGCCATTGCAAGCGTTAGCGCCCACCGCTTCACAATCTACGCGTGGTTCCCTTTAGCGGGAGATCGTGTAATTTTTTTACTGCTTCCTTTTTTTTTTCTATGTTCCATACTATACACTATCATGAACCATAACCGACTTGCCCAAGCTTCAGTCCCTGTTGTTTTAGCTGAATGGGTACTGACACCATTTTTTCGAAGACGAGTCTATTCTGCCATACAAATTGCCGCATCAAGAAACGACTCTAAGCAAATGAGATGCTCATCAATTACCAATAAGATATTTTATTTTGACATTCAAGTCAATTTTACAGCAAAAGCAGTTTTGAGATTACAACAAGGAAAGGATTCTTGGGAAGATATTTGTGATTTTTTTTTTTTTTTCCACGGGTACCAACCGCAACACTACCAGCTCTACAGAATCAGCGTCACTTTTCTTGTGATGTGACCAACACGTCAGGCTTGAAACTGAAATTTCCGAGACTCTACCAGGTCTCGCTTCTTTCCTCAGACGTGGTTGATTTCACTGTACTAGCATTACACGTTTTCCATATTACACATTATAGGTTAAAACTCTCTGTAAATATCACATGGCCAACACAACAGCAAGCTTTGCTTCATCTAGCTGTTCACTGTGACCACCGTAAAGAATTTTTCATATTACAAGGAAAATCGACACCTTTAAGAAGACAGGAATTTTCAATGAGAGACTCCATGCGAATTTGGAGGGATAGTTAGGCAAGTCCTTAGCCTGTGCACTTTACTGTTAACCTGCGACAACATGAATGACCACACTCACCTGGTTGACCCATGCGTCGTCCTGCAGGCAACGCTCGAGGATGATATGCGACTCGGTTACCTTCTGCTCCTCTTTCAAACGCTCAATCTGCACAAAACATGGGATACCTACATTAAGCACATTAAATGGAAATCACTGAAACGAAACGACTGCGCATTAATTCCAATTAATGTCCTGACTATACAATACTACACTACAAACCAGCAATTAGGGTCCTCTATGCTCTCCTTGGCCCCATAGTTTATTGGACTCATTTAGTTGAATGTAGTGAAGAAATGGTAGAAATTCTATGGGGCACTAGAAAGCAGGAATGGGCGAATATATACAGTCGGGCCCACATATAACGGCCCCACTTAAAACAAACTTTCGCCTAAAACGAACAATATCCACGTGATCGTGAAAATATACATTGGTTCAATGGCACAAAATCGCACTTACAACGAACGTCTCCGAGCGCCGCTGATCGGTTACAGTGAACGGAGTCAGCGGTCAGCCGACTTCCCGGGAAACCAATTTCGACCACCGATCAGGCATTGGCGAGATGCCCATATATTCTTACTGTCAAATGTCGACACTGCCTCCACACCCTCATGTTGCCTGCCACTATCCCCAACCCATGGAGGAAGGAAAGTTGTTTCTTTCTTCCATCACCCGACTGCTTTTTGTTGTGCACCCCTCCGTCCTTTGTCCCCCCCCCGCTACTCGGAGCACCCCGCATAGCCAGATGAGGCCCCTGTTTTCACACTGCCACCGATATTTCGGAGACTGGTTGGCCATCTACCCTGTTTTCGATCGCTGGTACTGTCGTTGGCGTCGCCGGCCTGGAGTGACCAGACCATGTTTCAACATCGTCGGCCACCAACTGTATCCGATAGTCTGCATCTAGTGCACGCGCTTACGCTACCCCACCGACTCTGATAATTTGCTATTCGTTTCGTGTTTAGGACTTGCTCTGGCTCACTCTGTACTCAACTCAGCATGCCTTCCGCGCGTGCGCAGAAGCCCTGAAAACGGCTGTTGATTTGTGCGGAATGAATCGGGAAATATCGAAGTTCGTGAGGTCAGGCAAGCCCACCGGCGCAACAAAACGATTTTTTGACCGCAGGCCGCTGATTTTTCGAACACCGCCGCGCACACCGATCCAGGTGGCCATGCTCTGACTTCTGCGCACGCAGCGCACTCTTTTCAAGTTTTTCTACATGCGAGTTTCGCGGACCTTTCAAGCAAGCAACCCAACCTGCCTCTTTTCCGTGCGTTTCGGTTTTCAAGGTCGCCCTCCCACCACATCCTCCCCTCTCTTTATCGCAACTCCTCCTCCCTTCTCTTGCAAGTCTGCTCTCCTCTCTTGATCACAACCCCTTCGCCTGTCTCCACCGCTCCGCGAAAGCCCGCCACGCTAGCTCGAATTAGTTTCGTTTTCTGACAAGAAACGGGCCCAGAGCTATTCCACGTGTTCTGGCATGTGTGTCGCGTGTGCGCGTCTTGCTCGCTCTTGGTGTGCGTGTGTGGTCATGATGGCCGACGGGAGGACTAGCACACTTTTTCCTGCCACTCAACAATACGTCGAAAGTGTGACCGCTTGGCTTGAGCGTAATCCGCACGTTAGGTGCCGCATTGCAGAGCGGTTGCTCATAGCTGGCAGCCAACTTGCTGCTTTGGGCGTCCCGGTATTCAGCTGTGGAGATGGTGAATATTTCGTGGACTGCGGTGACGACTACATGGGCGCGAAACTGTTTTCATCAACGTTGGGCCCGATGCTGAGCCTGAAGCTTCCGAACTGCGGCGGCGATTTGTGGCAGCACGTCGTCGACTCCGACCTGGGAGAGCGGGTAGGACATCTGTTGCGATGGTTTAATTACGGCCGATGATGATGCCAACACTGCGGAACCGTGCACGGATTGGGGCATTGTGAATGAAGTATGTGGCGAGAGCGATTTCGAGGAATCGGATTGCGAGAATGACGAAACATTGGAGCCAGCGCTTCCTGCAGCTTATGCCACGGACCTCGGTGAATGAGCACCCTGCCGTTTTAAATGAACTCGAGACCACCCTTATCGCTTCTGCTCTTCGAAACACCTGCATCATGGACTTTTTGGGGCAAAAAAAAGTTTGTGTTTTCACTCGCAACCTCTTTTCAAAGGCTGTGTTTCATTTACCACGAACTTCGGGATACAGAGAACGGATGCCGCGTCACGCTCAGGTTCACTATAAGCGGGCTCGACTGTATATACTAAGTTCTATGGTCGAAGCAAATAGCGATTTCGTCTATTCGCTTAGGTCAAGTAATTACAAATTCGATAGTGCGAATAGCATGCATCACATATTATTATTAAAATTAGCATTTTTGTCAAGACCGAACAAACTGGCACAATATTTTTACACACTGGAACTCGGCATGAGCGAAAGTCAATTTTTTTTATTTTTTTTATGCGAAGTGGAGGCAACTTGGAATATCAGCAAGACTTGTATAAAAGTAGGCTGCAAGTTATAAGTGGTACGGTATGTTACGTTTTAGAAATGACCATACTCAATGCATATAAGCCTGTGTAACACTTTTAAAGCGTTAAAAAAAAAAAAAAGCTCTCATGTGACAATAATACCGTATATTCTTGCATATAACCTGCTCCTGCATATGACCCGCAACCCGTACTTTATCAGCACAAAAAGTAAAAAAAAGTGCATGCAGCCCGCACCCCCATTTTTCAAAAGACATTTTCTGGTCTTTTCAGTATGGGTTATCTTCTCGCACACATTGAAGTGTGGCTCTGCCACTACATAAATTTCCCTTAAATGGTTGGTACCACAGCATAGCTCCTGAACACACTGAAACCACATTTAATGGAAGGGTTAATGTACAATGATAAAGGGAAACCTTGCTAATACATACCTGCTGGGAAAGCAACATAACCACGCACTTAACATACAGTGCGTTAACCACGAGCTACAAATTTGCATTTTCCAACGCGCGCTGTGGCCACCGGCAATAGAATACAGTGCCACAGCAAATATTGCCCTGAGTGCCAATCACATGTCTATTTCTTTCAGTTTGCCAAAGTGAAAAAAATCATGGCATAACCACGAGGTTAATGATGACGAGCGAGGCAAAGCGAGGATGAACGGACAAACAGACGGACACATGGATGGACAGACGGATGCTTCGCCCCACTCATCATCATTCACTCCGTAGATATGCTGCGTTTTTATTGACATGCAATGCAATGACTACCACGATACAGGGCATACGACCCACAGCGACAGGGTGGTGACTTGTCAGTTCGACATGCTGGTATGATGAAACAAGCGCAATGTGCACAGACTTGAAAACCAGACAGGACGTAGCGCTCCATCCTGTGTCCTTTCCAAGTCTTCCAACATATAGCGCTTGTTTCATCATAAGAAAAAGATTCTGGCACTCTCGCACAATCGTCCGATAGCACGTGGTGCTGATGCGTGGTGCTGGTGCTGGAGCGTTTGGAAACTGCAAGGTCCAGCATGCGCAGCTACTATAGTAACAGAACGGACACAATCCCCTGTCCACGATATAAGAGTACCGCAGCCTGCTACTTGGCGAAAACTGACCTTTTTCTTCAAACGTAGTACGGTCGCCGGCAGCCAATCGTCTACTGCCTATTTTCGTGCAGCGCTTCGCCATGCTCGCGCATTTGTCAATAGTTGCTACCTTACCTTCATTCTTTCTCGACGATTACCCGCAAAGGCACCACCGAAAGCAATTGTGCGGAAGTTGGAATAATTACTCGGCCGATCTCCGCACTTTTAAAAATAAAAACCGGGGGGACATAAGTCCTAAATACATTTTCTTACTTTCAGCTCAATATAGAACTTCACTGTCCAAGGTAGTTTTTCATGCCGATTTCAAACCTGTAATTTGTTTCTCCATAGCACAAGTGCTTCAGAAAATATTAAGGTCTGAATTTCAATGAATTACCTATCTGTTACGGTACTCTTGACAAATTCATTTTGAAAAAATTAAAAACTGAATGCATAACCCCTGTGCTGAGGACTTCCTGTAGGAACTGATGCTACTTTTTCCATTTCAATGCATTTTAAATGCAAGAAAAAAGAGAAACACTTGTACTGAATATTTTACTCTAATTTCGTAGTGAATTCAAAGCAAATAGTGATCTTGGTCGAATAATTTCGAATCAAGTTCAAATAGCATATATAACATATCATAAAGAAGAATTGGCATACTTGTAATGGCCCAACTAACCTGTCGCTCATTCTTTTTTTTTTTAATTGAAACAAGGCTTGTGCCAATTTGCCAATTTTTTTTTTTTTTTGTTCAAGGAAAGTGAAAACAACTTTGAATAGCAACAGGATTTGATTTCGGGTAGAATACAAGTGATTAGCTGTAAAATATGTCATGTTTTAAAACTTACTATACTTAGATTATATAAGAAGGGGTGTGCGGGCAATACATTCATTTAACCTTGAAGTGAGGCTTCGCGGCAGTAGATTTTTCTTGGAAAAGTGTTTTCATAGTTTATCACTCTTTCACAGCAGTGAAACCATCCTTACATGAAGTTGCATGCAAACTACAGTAAAAGCTCATTTATCCAGATCTCGTTAACTCAGAAATTTTGCCGGACACGTGGCACGGTCCCGGCAAAACTGTGTATATTTAAATGGTGTCAAATGCTCGTTAATTCTAAAGAAATTAAAGGCACACCAGTTAACTCGGATGATTCCAGAGAGGACTATCGAGGCTTCATGCTTTCAGTAACCTACTAAAAGCATAAAATCTCAGCTACGGTGCAACCAAAGTTTTGAAGAAACCAAAACGAAACAACCAGCAGCGAAATATGATCATGATGATAGTGAATGAGAGGGGAAATGGCCAGGCGGCGCTAGTCACCACCCGACAGAAGCGCTTGGCGCGGCATGGCGCGGAAGACGGGACAGTTTGCGCAGCCGCGGCTACCCCAGTTGCCCGCGACGCCTACGCTGCTGATTTCTTTCGGGTGTGACTTCACGTATAGCGTGTGCAGCTCGGGCACATTAAAAGACTCAAGTGTTGGGCAAATGGCGCTTTGACATAAAAACCGCCGTTACGTTCTCAGGCTGTGTTTGTGCGCGTTAATGATGGTGTGGCCGTTGCTGGTTTGCTGACTGATGTTGATGATAGCATGCCACAAGCCTTTACGGTGCGGTCGCTGCCGCTGCGCATGCGTCGTAAGGCGAGCTGCCATTCGCGGCCTGACCGCAGGAAATCCGAATTAGTGTAGTAGTGTTTGTCAATCGCGGCCCGCGAGGCCCGTTATGTGCTGTGAGTAGCTTCTGTGCATTTGAGTTTACGGTCCGGGTGAAAGTCACTAGACTTTTCGCAAGGGGGCGCAAACGCTATTCTAAAACTCATATGGCGCCCGCAACTAAAAAGCAACGCCCGCAATACCTGGAACGTTATTCTAAACCTCCCTATTATCAGAAGTGCTTGAAGAGGATTAGAGTCACTGTTCCGATAATGACATTTAAGATGAGCCGAAGTCACCAAAGCCCTCGCTGTACTCGCGGAGTTCTGCAGCAGTTCTCACAGAGCAAGCGTACACACCACCACCCCATGGGGTTGAAGAAGATTCTTCTAGCACCAATTCCAATGACGTGACAGACTAAGTTGATGCAGTTTTTCATAAAATAAAGGTTTGTCTGTGCCGAGTACATTTTCCTTTTGTTTTGATGGTTCATTCGATAATCCTGAATTCAATTAACTTGGACATTTTCACCGGTCCCGTGAGATCCAGGTTAACGAGCTTTTACTGTATTAAGTACACTTTGAAAGGTGTGTTCACAGTTTAGCACCCCTCCACTGCCTTCACAGAGAGTTACATACAGACTAATAACACCTATTCGTTCATTTCGATTCAAAATTGTTTCAACAATTTAAACTCAAATCGAAGCAAATTCAAATGCAGCATTATTCATTCGAATAGTAGAAGCACTTGAACATTCGCACAAGCCTACTCGTGATTCCCCTCTCTCGCCAGCTCACCTTCTCCCTGCATCGATGGAAGGTGTGGTACTTGTAGTGGTACAGCTGACTGAAGGTAGGAAGGGGGTCAGCACAGGAGGCGCACAACTGGAAGCTGCACTGCCCCGGCGTGTATTCACCGTGGGGTTCCACAGACAGGTCCAGCATGTTGTAAGGCTCGCCAGAGAACTGGGCCAATCGCGAAGCCATCTCCTTCCCACACGCCTGCGGCACCCACGTTTTAATATTGCAGATCAGTTCGTATGGGCCTCACAAGAAGAGCGGAAAAAGAAGAAAAATGGCACCCAAATTATCGGTAGAACCTTTTTTTTTTTTACTCAGTTTGTATCGAATATGCACACCTCGTATCAAATATCAAACCAAATACTAAACAAATAAAACATTCCTCTATCAGTAAGCTATATCAGCACAAACTGTAAATGCACAGTGTATATCACTATTTCACACAGCAATATTTTCAGGGTGGATAAAAATACGGTGGAACTTCGATTGTAGTTTGCCCAGTAAGGCGATGACTCACAACGTTTGCCGAATTGATTTGGTCCCAGCAAAACCCCTTGGAGATACCATGTTAAAAACTTCAAATATATGACACAGTTTTCATTAACCCAGCATCATACGACTTTCTGATGCATTCCAAGAAAAAAGTTACCTTTTTTTTCACTCATGCCTAATGCTCATCACATAATTGTGGCCGCAAAATTAGAAGTTGCTAGCCCCTACATTCCTGATAAAAAAAAATGAGATAGGTAATAATAATAATAATATTAATAAATATAGTAATAACTGGAATTTTACATCCCAGATATTATTATTACATATTAGCGACTCAGGCACTTCTCAAGTGAATTGAATTTCACTTTTCACCTGAGCATTGCCGCACTTTCGATGATGCAAATAAATTTAAACTTCAACTTCAAGACCAAGCTATGATTAGAAGAGACGCCGTACTGAAGGGCTCCTAAAATTTTCACTACCTGGTGTCTTTTAAAGAACAGTGGCACCGAACAGTACACGGGCCTCTACCATTTCGCCTTCATCGAAATGTGACCATCGCGGTTGCAGTCTAACCCGCTAGCCACTGTATTTCACATGAGGAGTTCACTAAAGCCACACTTTAAAAATTACAATTTTTTGTGTCTATTAAAATACACACTTTCTTGATACTTGTTTGCATTCTACAGTTAACGTAGAGCAATATGACCCATTAACGGCTTAGACCCATAAACGTTTAGTTGCATAAAAAGTTTCTCTAAAGCATTTTACAGCAGAACCCTGATTATACAACTTTCAGGGCGTATTATAATTGAAAAACTAAGATTATTGGCAGGGATACTTGGCCTTGACCAAAAAACGGGTGCAGAGTGCCTGAATAAGCCCCCGACAGGACCTTGTGCCGCTACAAGGAAGGTAGATTGAAGTATTCTTGCCAGTGGCAGCTAATGGCAGCATCACTTAGTTCGAGAAGGTGCAATCACATCTTTATTCTCAACCTTCCTAAAAAATCGAATTCCCATGAGGATCTTTTTACCAATAAATAGACTCTGAAAATTGCCAGCGCCTGAAAGCGAAACCGATACCGCATTGCCAACAGGCTCGGACACAATGTCATCGCTATCACGTTATGGCGATAGACCTTGAGTTTGCGTGGAATGCCTTCATGCACGACTGAGCTGTGCGTGTTGTAATTTGTTGCCTTCTGAAGCGAAACTGGTCGTGTCCCGCTGATATTATGAATTGTGACGTAAAGTGAAAGTAATTTTGCATGGTGAAAACAGCTGCGTGACGTCCTCATGCGTGCGCAAGCCTGTGACTGCGAGTGCGACACAGGCAGCACATCAGCTGTATGTCCAACAAGAAGTTTCCCCGAAACGAAAACGTAAAAAACGTCAGCTTTTCGGCCGGCTAAGGCTACACTGTGTGGATAAAGCTTAACCGCAGACACGTACACACACGATCGAGGCTTATGTAAAAGCGCATGAACTTCCAGGAAAATAAACTTTCCATTCTAACAAGGCAGCCTGTCCCTGTCTACTTCTCCAATTGTCAACCTAGAGGAACTCAAGTTCATATTTTGCACTCGTGAATATTTGGTGGACATTTGATTTCAGTAAATGTGGTTTTAGTCCTTTGGACAGAATCTGAAAGTCATCGTAATGCAGTCGAAACCCGCAATAACGAAACCCCGCGAGTATGAAATCCCCGCGGCGACGAAATAGTTTCAAATCCCCAACGAACGTTCGTAGAAGCCCATGTATTACGTATCTCGTGGCAACGAAGTGTTTTTGGACAGTGATCCCGCATTAACAAACTTTTCAACCACGGTGCGGGCCTTATTTTACCTTGCCGCCAAAATTAACTGTCCAAAATATGCTCGTATGCGTGTTATGCGCACTCAAAATTTATAAACGTCTGCTGTTGCCGTGCTAGCATGGGTACCGCCATTTTTGTTTACTTCAGGGGGGACGCGGCTTTAGGATAGCGAAAAATGGCAAAAAAATCGATTTTTTGAAAATCAAGTTTTTAGTTTCTAGAACCCTTTTTCTATCTGATTCCAAAATATGTACACTGAAAACCGTGCAGAAGTGCTTCGGAAAATTCATTTCACCCACCTAGGTAGCGGAACTTTTTCTGGAAATCGCGAGAAAACAGCGATTTTCAAAAAATTATGGCTTCGTGATGGCGGGGTTGGGAGCCGGCTTCTTGGGCTCATCGGAAAGAGCATTTCTCCATGTTTAACTTTCCTGCCTCAGCTAGCTCCTCCCTTTAAAAAAAAGTGCACAAAAAGCAAATGTTTCAAGGTCCTTTCAAGGCCTTTGATTGGCTGTGGCCGCCATGTTACCTCAGCTCGCCTCGCCATTGGCCCGATGTTCGCTCCGGAAGATCGTCGTCTGCTGCTTGTGCGTCGCGAGGACATGGCTCTCGAAAATTGCTACTTCGTGACGTGTTCACAGCTCAATGATCACTCAAGATATAATTACGCTTTAGTTAGGAGCAGTAGGCGGATGCGCTATCAGGCTACTACAAGCGCGGCGCATCATCGGAGTCGTCTTTAGCCCTCACTCCGCCGAAAGAGAGACTGCGGGCAGGAACAATGCGCTAGCGCACTCGTGGCGACGTGCTTCGTCGCAAGCAACGAAACTGTAAGCGGCGGCACGGTCAGACTACTACGTGTGGCCGCACCGGATGGACAATAAGATTACTACGAGCAAGCGCGCGATCTACAAGCGCGGCGCGTCAACGGAGTTGGCTTTAGCCCTAACTCCGCTGACAGCGAGACTGCGGGCAGGAACGATGCGCTGGACACCCTCCGCTCCTTCTTCGGCGCACATGACAACGCCGTAGCAATGGATCACTTTTTCCAGTGCAAAGGGTGAGCTTTGAAGTTGTTGCATGGCAAAGGTCGGCAAAGTAAGTTGACCGACTTCTGGCAATAAATTTTCGTTCTTCTGGCCGTATCACTGTTTCTATGTCTCATACTTGGAGCAACGAAATTCTTGCGAAAACAAAATATTTCGGTTTCCCCGGCGATTTCGTTATTGCGGGTTTCGACTGTATGCAGTGTCGACACAAAGCTGCATCGTATAACCAAGGCTTTTAATACATTATTTCTAATTTTCCTGGGACCAAACCGATTCTTCGTTGTGGGTCATCGCGAAACCGGGGGACATTCATTAGAAGCTCCACTGTATACCATATTTACTCTTGTAATCCGCGCACTCGCTTAATTCTCGCACCCCCTACATTTCCCAACAGAAAGTGTGATCTTTTTTCTGCGAATAATCATCACACCCCCTAAAAATGCAGCCGGAATGTCATCTGCTCCTTTTAACCACTGATGATGATAGGGCAACACAACCAGGCACCATTTCTCAAGCATTATGCACACTACCAACGCACGAAGCCCCAATTTAATCCAAGTTAAGCCAAAGTGGCAAGTGTGTGTTGAGGCATGTCAGTGTACGTTGCGTCCGTTCTGTGGTTACGTTATCGGGCGATAAGGAAGCTACACGGCTGCTTTCAAGCTGAAAGTGATAAATCATACACTAAAAAATGGCGACAGAGTCGCTAGTAGACACTTTGGAGGCAATGAGTTTTGTGTTCGCCACTGGAAACTGCAGCACGGGCAGCTGAAAGCCACCAAGATACACCGGGCCTTCCGTGTGCCTGAGACTGGGATGGATGGTGAAACTTCATTTTCGTCAGAAGGTAACTGCAGATGATTCCATGTTAGATGGGTATCAGCCTAAGGTTGACGTCGTACGCTAACCTTTTGCGGGTTCCCATTGTCCCAAAACGAGCGCTCAAAAAAGGGCGCGCCGCCGAATTCTCGCGACGAAGCGCCGAGAGGTCAACGATAAAGAAAAAAAAAAGAAAACAAGCATCCGAAGACTCCCCGGGCGCGCGTCCCTCTCCCCCCTCGGAAGCGTGGGTTCGCCGACGAAACCTCCTCTCATCAGCGCCCAAGCAAGCCCCGGAACGTTCTAGATGGAAAGGGGCGTGGTGATGCAGGGTTGCGTCATCCGTCGCGGACGGCCCTCGTACCGTCTCGCCCTTTCCCCAGCCTTCGCTGCGTATCGCGCCGACGAAATGATGAGAACTTTCTGGAATCTCGCGCGGAAGGTATTTAATCGAGCAGCCGAGATGGGAGATCAGCAGCAGAAGGAAGTTAACGCCAGAGTGCGTAGGGTATTCCGCCGCGTCTTTCGGTGAAGGTTTTGTCCTTAGTGACAAAGCAGAGAAGAAGAAAGTATGCGCCAGAGTGCGTAGGGTGTACCGCCTTGTGGGCGAAGCCTTTTGTCTTCCGTGACAAAGGAGGAGAAGAAGGAAGGGGAGAAGAAGAGGATTTCCACCCGAGGGGTGAAGACTCGAGCCTACAGGCAAGAGTGTGTGTCTACCGCTATCGAGCTGAAGACGCATGGCAACAGCTGCGTGTGGGAAGCCGACGTGTTTCCGGCGAAGAAGTTTGAAGCTTGGAGAGTGGCCAATTGAAGACGCGAGGTTTCCTGAAAGAGAAACTTCGGGGGCAGCGGAACGACAACAACGCTGGACTTTGAGTGAGTGATTCTCGGAAGAGTATCATCCAGACTTTTGTTCCAAGAACTTTGGACTGAATAAGTTTTCCAACTCTTTAGTCTTTAAGTGTTTTGGTTGTTCGATGCATGCGACTGCATTGTAGTGCGTATTGTTGTCTGTGTCCGTTG